CAAGACACTTAACCCACCTTGCCTGCCGCAGAGTTTGGAGGGCCCGGTGGCACCTGTGTACGGCAGACGCACCTTTGTCATTGTGCCCCAGGCCAGCTGTGGTTACAGGGCAACACACCTTGGGGGGGTTCTAGGACTCTAGAAGGTGCTATTTCAAATACAGGTCATTTGCCACACCATTTATGGTCTCCATGTAAAAAAGGACTTTTTTCCCTTGGTCATCATTGAGATCACATTACCATGTGAGGACTAGAAAGTAGACACACCAGCAAACACAAGCCGTTTTCAGAAGACACACCATGCCAGCATATCCGCCATGGTGTATCTTATTAACGCCACCTGGCGGGAAATTTGTAGCGTTTGTGCCACCCCTGTTGGTAGGGGTGTAGCCGCACTGCAGGACTTGCATATTACGCCTTGGCGCAACAGAGGGAGGTGTCATGATCACGTGGGGGGTTACTGCCGAACTATGGCCGGCTACAATATTGAAAATGAAAGTAAGCGTGGGCAGTAAGTTTCGCTTTTGTAAACAGAATCAGCTGAGATGATAAACTGGAGCAATGTGGAGCTCCTCTCCATTGAGGCTGGAGCTCAGATCACCAGAGACTGCACGGGGACTGTGGAGGACAGACGCCTTTAGGAGCAGCTTGTTAACCCTCTCAGGCTCGAAAAACTAAGTCCTTCAGCGATACTTCTGAGTTAATAAATGCTCATGGAATATGTTTAAAAAGCTGAATCTCATTAGGTTTTATTATGCTGAGTCATATCTGAACTTCTTATTTCTTTATATGTTAAATTTAAAGATGTATTTATTTTTTCATGATTTTTAGAAATTTGGTCCTTACTTTGCTCTCTTCATTGTACTGCAACTAGCTATTAGGTGTTGCGGTCCTTAAGGACTTATGCAACAAATGCATTAAACCTGGGAAAGAACATTTCTATTTCAGCTCGTGAGGCAACATGACAGGAAAAATGCTGAAGTAGGCGGGTATGTATGTGGAGAGAAGGCAGTCCAGCCCTACTTTCTGTCGTTTTTCTGTACCTACTGTGGTCATAACATGTAACTGAAACTGATTTATAAGCATCTTACTGTGTTTACCCAATACCGACATCCTGTTTTTGCTTTAATATTTCAGACAGAGCCAAAAAAAATAAATAAATAAATCTGACAGAAAAAGCCTGAACAAACATGGTTAAGTGTGGTTTTTAAAGGATGATGCAGAGAAGAGTGGAATGAAAATGCATCACAGCAATCAAAGAGGCTTCTTTGTTTTTCTTGTCGATGGTTTACAAGTCATGAAGTTCAGGGGCCAACTCTTTTTTCACATAAAGATGTCCGTCCTCCAACAGTCCCAGTGAGATGTCAGGTGATCTGAGCAAGTACACCAAGTGTGGCGGCACGAATGCCATAAAAATTACTGCTTCGCCATTCCAGGCAATATTATGCTGATTTAATTAATTAATCATGAGTTTAACACGTAGGCTGAATGTGAAAATGGTCTTCCAGCCTTATTTCCTGTATTGGCCACCGATAGAAAATAAAGCTGAAAACGCTCAGATCAGAAATAGTCAGATCTACGTCACACTGTGAAATTAACATTCATGAACTCGCACATCTTGGCTCGTGAGCGGGGAAGGCTGTTGTTTATTTGGCTTCCAGGAGAGAGCAGAGCGCTTCTAGGCTAGCAGAAGCTAACTGCTAGCTGTAGCAACTCCACAACATGACAGAACCCCTCCATGCTTGTGTTATTTCTGGACATAAAACATCAATGTTGCAAAGTGGCGGAGTTGCATTGCTGTTGGCCAATCAGAGACAAGATGTCTAATTATCTTGAAAAATGACTCTGGGAGTCAAAAAGAGCTTTTTTTCATTCCATTTACACTACAGACCACTTCAGGGTTCATTTCAAGATCCTGGTTCTGGTCTATAGGGCCTTACATGGACAAGCACCATCTTACATTGGTGATCTTCTCAGTCCCTACACCCCCAGCAGGTCCCTGAGGTCAAAGCCTACTGGTTGTGCAGCACCAGGCTAAAGACCAAAGGTGACAGATCATCTGCTGCTGTGGCCCCCAGACTCTGGAACTCTCTCCCCCTGAGCCTGAGATCAGTGGACTCAGTGGTCTCCTTCAAAAAGCAGCTGAAGACTCACTTGTTCAAAGTGGATTTTGTATGACCTTCTTCACCACTCTCTCTTTATTCTGCTCTCCCCACCTATTCCACCTTCCTCAGGATCCACTGATTTCCCTCTTTCCTATTCACTCTCTCTCTTTCTTAACATTTTTTAATCACAATTGTCTATTTTTGCTCATTTTAAATATATTTTTAAACATTTTCTAAATGCTTTTTTATATTTTTACATTTTTTGTTTTTGTGAAGCGCCTCGTGATTTTTATCTTGAGAGGCACTATAGAAATATTATTTTCTTCTTTTTCTTCTTCTTCTTCTGAAAAGCTTTAACATGAGTTCACACATCTGAAAGATGTGAACGTGTGACAAAAATAAGCAAAAGTAATTTGAATAGTTTTTCACTTACTGTACGTGTCCAAAAATTCCCATCACTCCTTTATTACGTTCCGGTCCTACTGGCACACCTGTGTGTGTGTGTGTGTGTGTGTGTGTGTGTGTGTGTGTGTGTGTGTGTGTGTGTGTGTGTGTGTGTGTGTGTGTGTGTGTGTGTGTGTGTGTGTGTGTGTGTGTGTGTGTGTCTACTCACACTCACTCACTTGTAAAATTCAAAACAGCTGGACTAAGTCAGATATCCAAATGTGGTCAATCCCCAGAGACCGAAGGTGACGCACTTGAAACTGCTCTATGCTGCTTCTCCCTCTTCAATTCAAAATCATACACACACACGCAACTCCCCCACCTCCACGCGCGCACACACACTCACACAGATCCAGAGTTCGAGGACTGCGGCTGACAGCAGAGTGAGCTGTTGACAGTGGTGCCGACCAAGAGCGGAGGAGAGGCTCTAATCCCTGTCAGAGGGTAGAAAGCCACTCAAAGCTAAACAATTAAAATGCTAATTTCATTTCCTCCTCTCTGCTCATCTGTTAATGACTCAGCCAAGCATGCGAGGCTAAACAACGGCAGTGTGTGAGCTCTTATGCATCCTGTTGGTAACAACATTGTCTTGTGACTCTCAGGTCAGAACGTTAACACTCTCACATCAACCATTCGGCTTGATAAAACGTGTTTGAACACAATAATGAACTTCCAACGCAGAAGTCCCTTATCTGTGTGTGTATGTTTACCTAGTCAACAATCCTGATTTTTACTGATGCAAAGAGGCAGAAGAGATGCAGGCAGGAGTTCTGAAATGCAAGGAAATAAGTGAGGCAGATTTTTTCATAGTTTTATGTCTGCTGCGTTATTAATAATTGAATGTCAGGCAAAGCCTTGGTGCCTGCTGCCGTTTCTCTCTTCTTCTCTGCTTTCGCTGTCTGACACAACGACGCGAATGCCCGCACATGTACAGCAGGCATATGTGCTTGGGAGAAAAAAACTTATTCACAGAGGAATTGGTGACATCACAGCTCCGAACATTTCTAAATGATGCCACAGTGACACACTTCCTCTTTCGATGTCACACTCAATGAACATGTTTGCATTCATAGTAAAATCTCATCTCATTTCATCATCCATCCTTGTATGCACGATGATGCTCTGTTATGTTATTCTGCAACATTCGCTGACAGCGGGGCTTATTTCAGCCGCTCAGTTAGACGGAGCGGCTTTTTGTGTTTATGTGACAAAATAAGGATGAAATGATGCCCTAACATATGCTCTCAATTTTCCTCCCAGTTTTCTCGTCAGGCCTTGTGAAGATCAGAAAAATAATAGGGAGTCTAATTCACTTCCGCCTCATGGGTCCCCGGAAGAACGAAAAATTGAATACGTCAGCGGGGCTAAAAATGCCATTTTCTAACCCGCTTTGCCTTACGCACAGGATCACACATATGTTGTACTGCAATTTAAATGAAAAGTAATGATGGGTGTTTCGGCCACGCCAGGCACATACTTTGAGATTTACCAGCTTGCAAAAGTTCGTAATTAGCATGACTACACACCAGAAATTCACTGTAAAACTTAATAAGTTCACAGAACTCAAAAACTATTTTGTTACTGATTAAACAAAAATATTTAAGTGATATTTTTAAATACTTTAAGTTTACATAAAGTAAAAATTACATTTGCAGTTGCCTTAAATTATCTCAATGTTATCTTATAAATATTGATGTCCCTCAATTGGGGAGTAATTCGCTCATGATTTTCAACATTTTTCAACTCATTATTTGGAAAATATACTCAAAACTGTTTATCAGACACACTTTAAGTTGACATAAAGATGAATAGAATAATATAAAAACATAAAATTATAAGTTAATATTTTTAGTTCGTATTACTCATTCAAGTTAAGTTGTTCTTCACTGATTTGATTTGTTTTTTCAGATGAATTAAACAGTTTGAGTTCTATGTACTTAAAACAAGGAAAAGGTTGAACTAACTCAACACATATGAGTTCTAAAAACTTTTTTAAATTTATGAGTGTTATCTACTCAATATATTTGATTATTTCAACATTTGGGTTTACAGTGTTGGCACGTCGCATATGTGACGTCACAGGCAATTTCATCATTATTGTGAACTCAGCCAATCTTCAATGGTCATTCTTTTTTGAAGAATACACCAAAATGGCTCAACATCCTAGAAAGAAAATAACGAAAGAATAAAAAAATGTTAGAACTTTCTGTACTAAATGTGTGTCACTGATAAATATGCATAAATAAATTCTGGCCTAGAGAGTTTAGGGGAACCACAGCAGATTAATAGCAGGCGGCATTATTATTATTGTCTTCAACTCACCAGTTAAATGTCATAAAATCTATTTTATTTTACCATGAACAAGTGCATCGGGGGCAGTTTAGTAATAAAGATTTATTACTACCTACTTTTATTGGGTTTTTTTCCTGCTCTATTCTCATATTTTCAACAGATGGGGAGACTGGACAATGGCAGCCTCACAGTGAAGTATCCAGTGTGGCCCCGTTTCAACTCCTTCGGCGATGCTGAACTGGATGACAACCACCTGTCCATCGTCACCTTAGAGGAGAAACCTTTTGTCATTGTGGAGGACGTAGAAAGACTCACTGGTACCTGCATGAGGAACTCTGTGCCTTGCAGGAAGCATATCAAAGAGTGAGTATAAGGCTCAGGTGTACCGTAGTCATCATCCAGTTACTCTTTCTAAATGAAGTAGCTCTTTTTTTGGTAGATTTACAGAAATCGTTCGAACACAACAAGAATCAAGCTAACGAGTGTAAAAGAGCATTTGTAACAAGGTGTTATGCTAGTTTGAGCTGTTTTGTAAATTACATAAATCAATATTTAAGCTTTAGAAAAAAAAATTTCTTTTAAACAATCTTTTCTGTTGTTTCCAATTCCTTTTCCCATATAAATTTGTCACGTTTAGGAGCAGGAGGTTAGGACCCAAGATGCAGACCCAGGATGACACGAGGCAGGAATGATAAATAAAGAAAAATCCTTTATTTTGGATGACAAAATAAAAATCCAAAAAGGGCAGGAGGCAAAAACCCAGAAACAAAAATGAAGCAGGGATAAATCCAAAAGCTCACTTTATGAGCAAAGTACCAAAGACCAAGAGGGAGAGACAAAAAACTATGCTGACATAAACAACAATGGACCGACAAGACACAGAGACAAGACAGGGCTTAAATACATTAGGGCATAATGGGAGGCAGATGAGCTGCAGGTGTGTGGAGTGTTTTGGGGGAGGACCAGGTGAAAGCAATGACTAATCAGGGAAGAAACTAACATGACCTAAGAGTGAACCTAAAAACAGAAAAGCAACCATATAACTAAAATTCTAAAGGGAAGGAGAACTACAAAAACCGGTGGGACAAAGCATATAAAAGAGACTAATAAAAATGACAAGCTGAAACTATAAACACTGTGGAGGGGTGACTGGAGAAGACTAAAGGAACACAGGAGACACATACATGAGATGACGACAAAGGACACATGAGGGCGCTATGAAACACAAAAGGAGAACCTGGAGTGGGAACTGGAGGGGCTGGGGAACAAAGGGACACAGAACATGACAAAATTAGATTTTTGATTATAGTTTTTAAGGTGCTTCCCAAAGGGGAGACTTTATTTCTGCTTTAGCGTATCAAGCTTTTAGGAAAAGATGACATGGCATTATACTTTGTGCATGCTCACTGTCTTGCACTAAAAAAACAACAAAATACCGGTTGTCAAGAGTTACATTTGCCTCACTCAGTTTACCCATTTCTCTAAACTGACCTTTTTAGTAGAACAATACAGTTAAAAAGGCAGAAAAGTCAGAAAAAACACCTTTAGCTGGGGTAACAAAAGCTCTTCCTTTATATTATGTATGAGCTTCTGGGACATGTTTGTGTTGTCAAAGATTGATTAGCTATAGCAGACATCTTGAACTAATTTGCCTCCAAAAGTGAACTAGCTGACGGATGTCAGTTGTGGGGCGGGATCTATGATTGTTGTTCAAACTGTCTCCGCATGCTATTGGACAACAAGCAACATGACGTACAGGAAAACTGGTGCTGTGTCTGCAGTAATGCGAGTGTTGTACCGATCTGTCTTTGTGAACAGAGAGCTGAGCCAGAAGGTGAAGCTCTCCAGTCAATCTATGCTCCAACCCTCACCTGGTCACGAGATTTGGGTAGTGACCAAAAGAACGAGATTTAAGCGGCCAAAGTTAGTTTTCTCCACAAGGTGTCTGGGTTCTCCCTTAGAGATAGGGTGAGAAGCTCCATCATCCGGGAGGGGCCCAGAATAGACCCGCTGCTCCTCTACATTGAGAGAAGCCAGTTGAGGTGGCTCAGGGATCTAGTTAGGATGCCTTCTGGATGCCTCCCGGGTGAGGTTTTTTGGGCATGTCCAATCGGGAGAAGACCTAAAGAAAGACCCAGGACATGCTGGAGGGACTATTTTCTCGGCTGGTGAGGGAACACCTTAGGATTCCCCTGGAGGAGCTGGTCCAAGTGGCTGTGGAAAGGGAAGTCGGGGCCTCCCTGCTTAGGCTACTGCCCTTGTGACCCTACCCTGGATAAGCAAAATGGAGTATAAATTTAAACAGAACTTCTCTCATGTAATAAAAAACTATAGTTCCATCACAGTTCAGTTCACCACAGCGACTGCTGTGATGCTCAGTCTTGTCTGTGTGCTTCAAACTTGATTTTGCTTCAGATTTTCTAAAAGAAAAGGCACAGAAAGCTTAAAAAAACAATTTTCTTTTTTCTTCTTCACCATTGCTGCATTTTTCTCTCCGCCTTGGTGAACAGTGACAGGGTGCGGCGTTAGTCCTTTAGAGCAGCTACTTCCCTCCCACAGAAAACGGAGGCGACTGCTGAAATAAGCAGTTTAATTCCTTCTCATATAAAGTTTCTCTCTGACGCTTGAATATCTGGAGCTTTTTGCTTGTTCCTGCAGCACAAATACCCAGTTTGTGTGTCTTAGCCACTGATGGGCTCCAATGAATCAAAGCGTCTTTGGAGATATTTGACAATAGTATGTGTTGGCTCACATTGGTGGACACAAACATCAGCTTGAGCTTATTGCATCACTACTTTTTCCTCCCTCGCTTACTCTTTTGTAAATGAAGCAACGGCTACGCACGTAGAGAGGGGGAGCTGATTAAACCGTAATAGGGTCTCAGGAAAGAGATTATCATCCAGTCACTGTGAAGTAGGGAGGAGGATAAAGCATCTCCAAGGAGGAACACAAACACACATTGACAAGCCTGTATACACTCCCTGCTGCCACATGTCCACTCACAGGCCATTGCTTTCGGCCTTGTTCCTCCCTCCCACAGTGCAATTCTCACTCAAGCATCCGCAGTATCCATTTGGACCAAGAGGGATTGACTGAGGGGATGAAAGAGGCAGAGAACGGGGGAGTGGTGGAGGAGGAAGGGGTCGCATCGGGGTTTGGAGGGTATCCATGCATACAGAACCGTGAGTTCAGTCATCCAGGCCGAGCCCTAAGAATGAGCCTTACTCACTAGAACATGCACAATCCCTCGCTGCCCACTCTGGAGACCCCTCAGGCCCTGGAGTGTTTCATAGTTGGGCTGGCAACTTCACAAACAGCCTCTCAAACATCACATGAACGCTGCTTTGGCCTTCCTGATTGAGTACACTGTGTTCATGATGGCGGCTATTAAATTTCAGCACCAGCCGTCAAGCTTACTTTAGCCCAAAACTTGATTTAGTATTATTTCTGTGGGCTAATGAATCTCTTACTGGTGAGTACGCTGTAAAAAATGACAACCTCAAAAAGTTGTTTCAGTTTATTTTTCGTATTTCATCTAAGACTCCCTGTTAAGTTTTAATTGTCAAACTCAATTTTGTGTGTTTTGATATTGATATAGTGTTCAAAAGGTGGAGTTATTTGTTGTTGTCATGTTGTCATCGAAAGTGAGGAGGGCGGTCGTAGGAATAAGAACGTTGTGCCGTTTCACTCCACTGCACTAAATAAAGTTATAGTTCTCGCTAAATGCTCAGGAGGACTCAGCTCCTTGTGTTGTGTATGAGGCGTGAGTTAGCCAGCATTTTTCAGTCTCGTTAGCTTCCTGCTTCACCGTTTTCCTGTAATGGCATGACAGCTGCCGTTTTGTTACACGAGCTCAAACAATTAATCCATTTGTTCAGTAAACATAAACTTTCAATTTGAATGGACAACCATACAAGTCTAACTCAAATTTTTAAGTTAACATTATGTAGAATTGTGTGTATGCGTGTGTAAGACAAAATGGTTTTTCCACTTTGTAATCTAATAACATTTGTTGTTTTGACTCACAATATAATATTCAAACAAACCATAGTTATTATTTACGATATTTGTATAACTTGGCACATAGAGTTGAAAGAAAGTGTTCATTTAAGTTGACATGACTCAAGTTTTTAAGGCAGCTGTTGAACTTTCCTTTTTAAGTTATTCTGGCCTACAGCTTATTGCAGTGTAGTATTGCATCGACAACGTACATCGGACATTCAAATTGCTACATAGATTTATTATTTATTTACTTCATTCTAATTTGGGGATTTATTTGTAAATATTTGAACATTTTATGAAGTTTTTTTTAATAAAAACAATCCACGTTGTCTTTGAGTCAAATCATCTGAACTTACCAGATGAAACACTGTGTCTGTTTATCTAGTCCAAGTCTGTGTTCCAGTTAAACACAAAATAACCTTTTGACTGTATTTGGCTGTTTTATTTACTTCTACTTCTTTACCAAGGTTAGTACTTCCATCTACAACCAGGTGGATCATAAACTGATGATCTCTTCTTGAGGGGAATGTAAAAACTACAGTTAGAAAATGCCAATTTTCTTAGGTAATAATTACATAGTGAAATATAATTTGTAGGCATACAGCTTATATGGTTAATTGAAAAACAATTTCCCTGAAAATAGCTTAATTTAATGTGCCTTTAAGAGTAAAAATATTATTATAAGTTACTATTTACTGTTACAGCTACGAAAATGTCTGAAGTGATATTGCTACCCATCTTTCTCCAACATCGTTAAAAAGCTATTTTTCCTATTTGACTGAAAGAGGAGGAATTGTGGAAACTGATGATTTTCAAACAGTAAAATTAATCATAGTGTGAATTTTATCTCCCAAACAAAACTGCAGAGTCACGGCTTAGTCTGAGCAGGCCTTGTTTTATCTCTCCTTCTCGTAAAGTTTGTGTATAGGATGTCAAGCTAAAGGAGGAGGTCATCGTCCTCTAAATTAGCACACATCTAAAAGTCAAATGAGATCCCCAGGTGGTTGAACTGTATATGTTTGTGTCTGGGAACACTTTTTGAACTCTGCTGCTCTCAGCCTCAAACGCAGATGGCAACATGGCTTGCAGATGCATTGCTGTCAAGCCCTGTCTCTCAGGAGGAGGAGCGCGTTTATCAAGCCTTATGTCGTTTGGACGGGCTGCACTGGCGCAGTGGTTAGAGCTGTTGCCTTGGAGCAAGAAGGACCTGGGTTCGCTTCCTGGCTTGGGGTCTTTCTGCAAGAAGTTTGCATGTTCTCCCTGTGCATGCGTGGGTTCTCTCCAAGTACTTCGGATTCCTCCCACAGTCCAAAAACCGTCTGTCAAGTTGATTGGTCTATCCTTATGTGTGTGAGTGTGTGTGCATGGTTGTTTGTCCTGTGCGCCTCTGTGTCACCCTGCGATGGACTAGCAATCTGTCCAGGGTGTACCCTGCTTGTTTGCCCATTGACCGCTGGAGATAGGAACCAGCCACCAATTCCCCCCCCCCCCCCCCCCCCCCCCCGCAACCCTGCATGGACATGGTTCAGGAAATGGATGGATGGATGGGTATCACTTGGACAGAATGACCACAGTTTAAAGGCGAGAAGACACAGGAGTTATTTGTTTGTAAATTTTCAGACAGAATAAGCTAACCTCCAGTTTCAGCCTTTTGTCGCCACCTTATTCCTAGCCCCCATGAGCCCTGGTGCGAAATATGCAACCTACTTCCTGTTTGGTCTTTGTTTACATGGAGGTCATAAATGGTATGGTAAATGGTCTTTATTTGATATAGCGCCTTCTAGAGTCCTAGAACCCCCCAAGGTGCTTTACAACACACACTCACACCCTGGTGCTGATGAGCTACAATGTAGCCACAGCTGCCCTGGGGCATACTGTCAGAGGCGAGGCTGCCGTACACAGACACCTTCAGTCCCTCCAACCACCATCAGAAGGCAAGGCCGGTTAAGTGTCTGGCCCAAGGACACAACAGCAGAATTTTCTACCGGTAACCGAGATCGATCCTACAAACCTCCGATTACTAAACGCCTCTACCTCCTGAGCCACTGCTGCCCCATGAAGATGTGATCCATTTGCGCTGGTATGTTTTAATGTGTTTGAGAAATAAACTACATGGGAACTGTTCCAGTGAGGTGGACGATGATCTTAAAATCTGGCCAAAACTAACATATGGTAGCATTTTAGCTGGTTTTTAACTCTGTTGCGTCCGACAGTGAGGCAATGAACAATATTAAAAGCTCCGAGGCATAGCAGTACTTTAGTAGTAATAAGATTGGTGATGTTTTGTTTAAAGGATTGGGGTTAGGGTTAGAGGTGGGTCACAATCTTATTTACTTAAAAGCAAATGTAGAACCGAGTCAAAGCCACCAGGCCCGGGTTTTAGTTTCTACATCAGATCTACAAACAGCACATTGAACTCCTATTTTAATCATTAGTCTGCTTGTTAAAAGCTTTATTGAGTTCAATTATTTTTAGCGTCTCAAATCAGTCGAATAATTTTTGAATTATTTTATGTCCTGTTGAGAATGCAGTCAGACAGGGAAAGAAAGGGTTCTCATGCACTGATGTACAGGCATGTTCCAAACATCACTCTTGAAGCCACAAAAGTAACTTTCTCTGGCTGCTAGAACAACCATACAGTGGTGCCTCCAGGTCATTTTATTAGGGGCGACCAGATGAGGCCAGAGAAAAATTAGCAGGGTGGCACACCAGATTGGTCGGTGTCATAACTCTAGGAGAGTTTAGCCTGTGGCGATGCATTCCATGCTCCTTTATTTGATTTCATTAAAAAGCAATATTCATCCAACACACTCACCTCAATTTTGAAGAACACAAAATTTTCAAAATATGACATTTCGAACTGTTATGTAGAATGTTATTTCAAATTTACTGTAGAATTTTTAGAACACTTCAATTGCTAACTCTACAAATACTAGAGATTTAAAGAGCAAGTCACCCCCAAATCAACTGTTTTTTTGCTGGTAAACTATGCAAATGAGTGTCTTATCGTGCTGTAGACACGCGTAGTCAATAATTTGGCACTTTAGTGAATCTTGGTTAAAATATTCTGCCTAAAACTGTCAGTGTTGCGTCCTCTTCAGGTGAAAACTCTACACTGCATTTGAATTCAAATCTGCCATCTCTATTGGCTAAGAGGTACATTATGATGCAAGTGAGCCTGTGTGTGTGTGTGTGTGTATTGATTAGTGGCTCCACCCTCTCGGTCTGCCAGCCAACAGGATTAGTTGCACTTTTCAAACAGAAAGTGGGAGTGGAGTAAGACTCTGGTAGGAGGTGACTTGCTCTTTAAACTTTTTTTTTTTTTTTTAAATGCTGAGCAGGAAAAACACAAATACTTTATTGAAATCTGATTATTTATTAATTGTATATGTTTTATTGGGTTTTGTATTTATGTCTGATTAAATGATATGCATTTATAGTTTGTGTGAACAATAATATGAGAGCATTGGTCTCCTCTGGTGCGGCCAGCAATTTTCTGGGGGAGGCCCCGGCTAAAGGTTGGATATAAATGCATGTTTAGATAAGTTCAAAACTGCTTCTTCTTCTTGTGTCTCTCACAGCCTTTAATGTTTTCTTGGGTTTTGTGGGTTTGTGTGTTTTTGTAGCAACACCACAGAGGCTGGGGGGACTTACATAAAGAAGTGCTGCAAAGGTTTCTGCATTGATATCCTGAAAAAAATTGCCAAGTATGTGAAGTTCACCTATGACCTCTACCTGGTGACTAACGGCAAGCACGGCAAGAAGATAAACAATGTCTGGAACGGGATGGTGGGAGAGGTGAGTCGCGCTCACAACAATTTAGAGACATTTGTCTAAAAAAAAGTCTGCTTCTGCCAAATCCAAATAAACTTTTAATCACTCCAAAGCTCTCAGGCTTTGGCACCCACTGCCACTTCTATTGAGCAAATATGATTTACTGCTGCAGAAAACTGTTTTGCATATCTTTAACTACCAGCCTTAAATTGAAGGTAGGCTCAGAATTCAATTTTAGATGAATAAATATAACATTTGTCTTAATGTATGAAGAAAGAGTTCAATTATTGAGATAAAGGTATCTCCAAAAGCTACAGGTAGTTTGGCTCATAATCTGGAGAGAGAGAAAGGTTTTGGTTTCAGTTATTTGGTTTTAGGATACAATAGGGCTGGGCGATATGGACCAAAACTTATATCTCTACATTTTTGCTGAATTCCGATATACGATATATATCTCCTGTAAAATATTTACAAGTTAGCTCACTTCACGCTGTCTTGAGAAATCATAAACATAAATCAGTAGATTAAATGCATGAAAATGTATTGATTCTTGTCAAACTTTAACCTTAGTGCCTATTCTCTGGTACAGTTGTCTGTTAACACACACACACACACACACACACACACACACACACACACACACACACACACACACACACACACACACAAACAGGCACTTTTTAATTATATATTTATAATTAATCTAAAATTATTTAAATTTCATCTAGAGGTGGGTCAAAATGTATATTTCTTGTCCGGAGAAAAATAAATCTATCATGTTAAACTAAATTTATGATGATGTAACTGAATCTACTGAAGATCACATGGGTCATGCACCGTGGAGTTATTAGATATTAGGGCAAACATGGCTGGAGTCTAACAGTATTGACTCATATCAACGATTACATTGTAATGACTCAGAGTCTCTGGTTCAGGGGCGGAACACACGTAGAAAAATAAAAAATAAAATACTTAGCACACACATTTAGGAACATATATACCTTAAATACTATATATATATTATTACTTAGATTAGCCATTTTTATATTTGCTTGTTTTTACGTTATTGTATTTTGCACAACTGTTGCTGTGAAGCTCGCACACAAGAATTTCACTCACATGTACTGTACCAGTGTACCTGCACATGTGACGTGACAATAAAAGTGATTTGATTTGATTTAATTTGCTTTGATTTGATTTGATTTGATTTGATTTGATTTGAACTATGAGTGGGCACAGGCCCACCCAGTTTGACAGAGTGCCCACTCACCAGGGGCAAGGCCAGGCAGTAGCTTGGTGTTGCTATGACAACACCAAGATGTGGCCAAGCAAGCAACTGCTTAGCAACCCCAGTTATGTTGTAACAACAATTAAAGTATAACATTATTACTCAAATGAATGAGCTCTTTTTTCACTGTGTAATAAAAAAACTAACTTTTATATCTGGTATTAATTTTAATCATATTATGAATAAGTTTTCCAGTTTGCTTGTTGGAGTTGTAATTTGGTCTTTTATATTTAAAAAAAGCAAATTGGCACCTGCTTGCTGACACTAAGCAACTATTAACCTACTTCAGAAAAAATACTCCGATGCCACCCCTGCCACCCAGTGAGGTTCATGATTTATTTTTTCTCAGAAGCGTCCTCCTGCCCTGGACTTCTCACAGCTGAACCGGGCGTCTCCCGGAGTCTGCGGAGGACCGATATTGTCAGCGGTGTAAACTGAGAAAGGACTGGGTGTGAGGGGGAGACAGACGCGCAGTACGAAGCGGACATGCAAGGACCTTTTATCTGTTGCTTGTCCTCGCACTTACGTTAATCCGGTAAACGAATCGTTTCATACGGGTATCTCGTCGGGTCTGCTTTAGTCCTCCATGGCCATGTTATTTGGTTCTGTTCATTTTATTCTTGTTGTTATCTGGACCGGGGGTTCGGGTGGAAGATCCCGGAGGTGATGAGTCATCCGAACCGTGTCTGCGCATCGCTGTCCGTGGTCCTGAATAAGACAGAGCCCCAGAGAACCGGTGAGGAGAGGGGGTTTGGTCCGAGGTGTATGCTATTTAGTCGAGGTGTGTGTGTGCGCACGCGCCCTTGAATTGTGCTTGCTGATTATTCCCTGGTGGAGGGCACGGTTTCTGTGAATCATCTGATCTGATCTCTGGTTTAGCACCACCTCCTGCTGCATCCTGAGCTATCTGGAGCATGAAGAACAGTCAAAAATCCAGATTTTTGAAACATGAGGTGACCTCTGGCAAACTGCAGTCTTTTGGATCTTCAGCTCTTAGCTGATACCCTGCAGCTAGGACGCTGAGATGAGCACAGCAGCATGCCTGGCTTAGATTAGAACCTGTCCAAGGTCCTGAAAGTTCACACGAGAGAGTGTGCAGGTCTTGGCCCAGAGCAGGAGTCCAGCGTTGGTAACAGTCCTTAAAATTGAAATTTAACAGAAACCCATGGAATAAGTATCTAATATAATCTTCTATCACAGGATTATTTGTGGCTTGAGAGATTTTATTAAAACATGTAATTTTGACGTACACACGCGTGACACAAATCTCATATGAGCTTTGAAATTAATTAGGTCCATCCAGATTTTTCTAGGCCCACCCATTTGCTATGTTCTGGCTCCGCCACTGCTCTGGTTGCTCTTTTATGAGTATTATTTTCGGGCTACTGTCGCCATAACCCACGCCTTACAACCTCTTTAGTTTTTCAACAGAATCACTCGTAACAGAGTATTTACTAGCATAGGAAACCAGAGCAGAAAAAGCGGAACTACATTTCTCACCCGTTGAGTACACCTTCAAAATAAAATGTTAACCCTATAGTTTACTATTCAAACCCTTACAATATGGTTGAGGTAATTTAGCCACTGCGGCTATCCGTAGATGTTTCCTGATTACACAGAGGAGGGAGGGGTTTGGCTTGTCTCCGCACAAGCAGGGTGGAAAAACAGAACCCCGTTGGCATTGAATGTCCCCAAATAATTAGAAACCAGAAACCCAAATACGAAGTTTAGAGCAGCACATTTACCCAGGGGCTCTCAGTATTATCCGCTTAGAGACGGAGCAACATGTCTTAAAAGAAGCTAGAGCTACTGGCAAATCCTCAGCACTTATCCTGCTCGACTTATCGGCCGCATTTGACACTGTCAACCATGGCTTCCTTTTGTCCGCACTCTCTACCATGGGCATCACAGAGAAAGCACATGCCTGGTTTGAATCTTACCTCACAGGACGATCATTCAGCATATCTTGGCTTGGACAGTCCTCTACCGTGCACCACCTTGCCACAGGAGTCCCCCAGGGCTCTGTATTAGGACCTCTTCTCTTTGCCATATACACCACCTCACTGGGTGAGAACATTCGATCACATGGCTTCTCCTACCACTGCTATGCAGACGACACCCAACTCTATCTGTCATTTCCACCGGACGACCACACTGTCTCAGCACGAATATCAAACTGTCTCTCTGACATCTCAAAATGGATGAAATCCCACCATCTCCAACTCAACCTCTCTAAAACTGAACTACTTGTCATCCCAGCAAAACCATCCATTCAGCACAATATCTCAATCCAGAATGACTTCCTATCTCTGGCTCCTTCAAAGGCAGTTGGAAATCTGGGTGTTGTGATTGATGAACACCTGACCTTTAAAGATCATGTTGCCTCTGTTGCCCGTTCATGCCGCTTTGCGCTGTACAACATACGTAAGATCAGACCATACCTAACACAACATGCCACCCAGCTCCTGGTGCAATCTACTGTCATCTCCCGCCTCGACTACTGCAATGCTCTTCTAACTGGTCTTCCAGGCTGTACTGTGAAACCTCTTCAAATGGTCCAGAACGCAGCGGCGCGTCTGGTCTTCAATCAGCCTAAAAGAGCACACGTCACCCCTCTGTTCATTGAGCTCCACTGGCTACCACTAGCAGCACGCATCAAATTCAAATTGCTAACACTAGCATACAAAGTCCGAGACGGTACGGCTCCCATCTACCTGAATCCTCTTGCAAAGGCTTACGTCTCGGCCCGGCCGCTCCGGTCATCACAGGATTGTTGGCTAGCAGTGCCTACACCACGCTCAGGACAATCCAGACTTTTCTCATGCATCATTCCACAAATGTGGAATGACCTTCCTAACACTACCAGAACTGCGGCTTCCTTTTCTATTTTCAAGAAACTCCTGAAGACCCTGCTCTTCAGAGAGCTCTTCTAAACTAGCACCTTGCCTGCACCCGTCCCTCCTCTCTACTGTCCACTCCTTGTTCCCTCCTCTCCATGACTGATGTCAATTTGTTGTTGTTACTATTGTTGTTAGCCTCAAGGGCAAAATGCCGATTATCACTTGTAAGTCGCTTTGGACAAAAGCGTCTGCTAAATACATAAACATAAACATAAACATGTCGCTAGCATAGTGGCTATTCACTTGCATAGCAGTTTGTCCAGTTATATCGATATAAAATATCGATATATCACCCAGCCCTAGGATACACTATATCAGAGGTATTCAATTCTGGGCCTGCAGGCCAGTATTCAGTTCATTTTAGTTTTAACCCTGCTTCAACACATCCGGTTTCATTCAGCAGGTGATTAACAGGCTTCTGCAGAGCCTGATGAGCTGCTGCACAGGTGATTCAACCACTGAATCAAGCGTGTTGGAACAGAGAAACCACTGGAATTCACAACCCCTGCACTATATGAAAAGGCATTTAAAAAGAAAACATCTCCTGGTATTCAAATAGAAGTTATGTTGAGGAAAAGGTCAAATTATTTAAAGAATTTCTTTTCAAAGGGAAATACTGAAACTGATGTGTTCTGACAAAGCAGGTTTGAATTTTTAAACCATGTATCATCTTTACTTTCGTTTCTTTCTTTCTCCTACTGATCTCAATGGAGCACTATGTAAGAATTTTCCAACAAAATAATTCCCAAACAAATTTCCTTCTCTGCCCATGAATGAATCCTTCTGTGGACTTGGGACAGCAAAGTATCCCATAATGCATTGCGTTGCAAACTGTTATACTGCGGATAGCTGATAACTGTAATATTTAACATCAGAAATACAAATAAAGAATTATAAAGTTGTCTGTTATTGTAAATATTTATCTGTAACCCATGATATTTGCTATGTGCATTTTTTTTTCAGACTTTTCATGATCCCTCACAATAGCTAACCCGCTATCAAAGTAAAAGCAGTGTTGCCTTCAAAAGCTCTGTTTTGAAGATAATAAATTGGTTTTCTTCATTTAACAGTGGGAAATGCTGTTTTGTTAATCAATTTTGTGGACCGAATAATAAACAAGTAATATGTATTAATTGTTATTTTGTTATTTAAGGGACAAACTAGACTTTTATTTCTATGTCAGGTCATTGTTTTGTAACTGTAGAGTACGGTTCTGTTCTAAATGTCATCCTCATCCTCCCTTACTTGGTAGAGCCAAATTCCTGCGGTACTTGCCAAGAACGTACTTGTCAAGTACACAAAAATGTACAAGTGTACTTGGGTATCGAGCAACGGCTTGAGTATTTCAGCAAACAACCACACTTCCTCTAATGCCAGCGAAATATTCCCGTAATAAGTGCAGTAAGTGCTCCCTACTGTAAAACACCCAAGAGTGCTAACACCAGTATTTATCTACTTATCAACTTACTGCGTATGACTCGTCTTTGCTTGTCATTTAGAATATTTTGGTGCTGAACCGTAACTGGCAACAGCCATGAAACAGCTCAGAAAAAAGGGGCTTCAGTGACCAAATTTAACCACATAACGTCATCCTCACATATTGCACCTTTAAAGGGACTTTACGGAGTTTTGAATTTTTATGCTCGTGATTGCTCCCTCAGGCCAAAAGCGTAATGGCAGCTTCAATTGTAGGCTCGTGCATGAGGCGCGCATGCTGTACGTGAACACTCCTTAACGAAAATAACAGCTGAGACAGTCCCTTGTGTGTGTGTGTGTATGTGTGTGTGTGTGTGTGTGTGTGTGTGTGTGTGTGTGTGTGTGTGTGTGTGTGTGTGTGTGTGTGTGTGTGTGTGTGTGTGTGTGTGTGTGTGTGTGTGTGTGGCCCGTAGGACAGAGGACAGGAGAACGTGCAGCTAATTAATTAAATAATTTGGTTCTGTACCTTTCTCTTCAGCACAGCCGACAAAGGTTTATGATGGATCAGTCCTCCTGCATGCTCAGATCATTCCCTTCCCTTGCTTGAAAAATTGTTCCAAAATAAAAGTTGAACCCACATCTTTTTTATCTGTGAATTCAATGCCGTTCAGCGAGTCTCAAATAAAGATTTGGGCATCTTACTGTAAAAAAAAAAAAAATTCCATTAATATAAAAAAGAAATTCTAAATAAACTATGTTCACATCTAGAATCAAACCCGGATCCTCTGCACGAAAGATCAACGTTGTACTAGGCAAGCTAAAGCACCAATGACATCTGTTGTACCTGTAGCATTTATATCCTTGATGACAGCTGAAGCAACGTTCAAAGAACGGTTCAGAGGGCTATGCCTGAGCGTGAATGCGCATGAAGCAGCCTGCTCGACCCGAGCAGCTCTCTTTTTCTGTGATTTTACAGAAAAACAGGCAATCACAGTAAAAATGCCAGGGCTCATTCTACAGGACCAGGGCATTGCAGGAGAATGTATGAAGAATAAATTTATTATTTCTATACATGTTTTGGTTGTCAAACTTCCATAATGTCCCTTTAACATAGAGTTTATGTACTCCAAGTTTCTGCTCTTTCTGCATTTGGCCATCATGAGTTTTCATGCCGGTGCTGGTTTGAGTTTTGATTCCAATTTTAAATCTCAGAATAAAACTTTAATTCAAGAATTAGATTCAATGTAAAATATTTAGATTATAGTCTCCAAATGTAGAGTTTACTCTTAAAGTACCCGGGTTCCTGAAAACACCAACTGAAATTTGTAAAAACTGAACAAGCAGGCAATTCTAATGTAACTCGACAGTTTCACTAATCAAAAGGTTTTTTTGTCTCCTTGATCCCATTTCTCCTTCTCCCATCTCCATCACCTCCAACAAAAGGTGGTTTATAAGAAAGCCGTCATGGCCGTCGGATCCCTGACGATCAACGAGGAACGCTCCGAGGTGATCGATTTCTCTGTCCCGTTCGTGGAGACCGGGATCAGTGTCATGGTCTCACGTAGCAACGGAACTGTCTCGCCATCGGCTTTCCTTGGTAACTGTTATCAAATGCAGATTAGTGTGGAACGACATGCCTTATGTGTGAAAATTGTTGACACAGATTATTACTATTCTATGTTCTGTTACCTGAGGGACAAGGGTGCATGCTGTCCAAAGAACCTTGGACATTCCCGTTATGTCATCTCAGTCGTTCATGGATGCAGTAAATCTTCAGTTCCTGCACAAAGAGCATGTCGCTAAGTAAACTAATTCACCTACAGGAGGAAAACAGGCATCTCTGCAAGCTATTCCATGAAAGTGAATCAGACAACCACACAGGCATGTTGCATGCAGTTAGTGCTGTGAAAGTGGTAATTACGAGGGCTTAGCGGGAAAAACCTATAATGGTGGCTTGCCAGCAGACGTCCACAAGATCCCTCAGTGTGCTGCCCTGTGCCAGCAGTGCTCCCTCATACATTAAAGCAGAGTTTAATCTCTGCAGTGTTGTTGGGAGCTCAGAGGGAGGACAGGAATGCTGACACAGTGACTTCCTACACCATACCACGACTTGCATAAAGCCGAACGAAAAAATCTTCCAGGGGGCTTCTGTTGAGGCTCTGAGCGTACAGGAAATGGCTTTTTGCTGTGTTTCTTCACATTGATTAGTTTTTAAATGTGGAAAAAAGGATTCAGAAAAATAATGGTAATGCTACAAACTCTTTGTCTACCAGAGCCATTCAGCGCATCTGTCTGGGTGATGATGTTTGTGATGCTGCTGCTGGTGACCGCAATGGCTGTCTTCATGTTTGAGTACATCAGTCCGCTTGGATTCAACCGAAATCTGGCACAGGGAAAAGGTGAGCATGGACATGAACACACTAGTAGCACTCAAGCCCAGATGAGGTGATGTTGGAGGTAAATTATTGGGTTAAAGCTTCATGGGCAAATCTGCCCAACAAGCTAACATATGTTTTCATGCAGCGTAACGATGTTCTAACATACTATAGCTACGACTATGTAAAAAAATCGATGAAGTGGCATTTGTCTACATAACTCAGCCAATAAAACGGCTCGGTCCGAAACAAACGATCGGACCATTTAGCTGTCTCAGCGAACCACTGCTCTTCCACGTTTACCTGGATCCTCCATTCGGTGCACACTCAAGCATTTTACAGCAGAACCCCACTGGTGTGAGGTTCTCCGCTCAATATCAGAGGAGGAGATACAGCCGGCTGCTACAGTTTCAACTTTAGGACAAACCACCAGAGTCCCAAAAAGAAAAACACCATTTGAAGTTGCACACACACAAGTTTGGACATAGAAAACGACTCATTTACTGTGGCGATGCCAAGGATGAATACGTGAGCAAAGGGGTGATAGCTGACAGATGAGTTGCATGACCGTGTCTGAAAGCTATTGCAGTATTAATATTTTCTATAACAAAGTCAAAATCTGAGTCAAATTTAAGAAATGTTTATTTTCTGTATTGTTTGCCGACCATTTAGACCAACACTTATTTGGGTTTGTAAAACACACTGAAAACCAACTCTTCATGTCGACATCGACCTGCCTAATCCATGGAAAAGCATTTTTCTAAACTTCTCCATTTGTGCCATGTCGTTAATGCTTCTCTCAGATCCCCACGGACCTTCATTTACCATGGGCAAGGCTGTGTGGCTGCTCTGGGGTTTGGTCTTTAACAACTCTGTGCCCGTGCAAAACCCAAAAGGAACAACCAGTAAGTTCATCGTATCGGTGTGGGCCTTCTTCGCTGTCATCTTCCTGGCCTCCTACACTGCTAACCTGGCCGCCTTCATGATTCAGGAGGAGTTTGTGGATCAAGTCACTGGTCTTTCAGACAACAAGGTAGGAACAAGCAAATGGTAGAGCTTTACTGTAACAGAACTTTTGGTTTTGGCAAAAGACCACCAATAGTTCTCACATTTTCCCATTTTTTGTGCAGTTAGTCCCAGATTTATTAGATTATATCCAAATTTCTAACGTTGTCTTCCTATAAACCTTCAATTGTTAAAGCCTACAGGATGATGGCTTGTTATACCGAAAAAGCTGAAGGCTAAAACAAAGCAGATTTTTTAAAATCATCAATTAAATTGCAAAGTCCCTTTGTAATTCTACCATTACTACAATGTTTAACCTAATCATATATTTTAAATATTTTTCTAAATTTGACCGAGTTAAACTTTTTGAAAGTCAGAAAGCAGGAAAAAGCTTGATCTCATTCACATAGTTTGCAGTAAAAAAAAAAAACTTTTCCACTGCAGTTTTATAACTGACTACACAAACAATATATTTTGTTTAACTCATTTAAGTATTAACATAAAGGTAAAAACTTAAAGAATGAAGCGAGATTGACACCCTATGGTCAAATTTGGTTACTGCAGCCAATTTTTATAAACAAAAGGTGACTTTCTGACTGCTGTTCCGTGAATTTCATGGCTGTGGCCAGTTATGGATCAGCGCCAGAAGATTTAAATGACAAAAAAGATGAGTCATATAAAATTGAGACATAGAGAAATACTATTTATAATATGGTGTTAGCCTTCATGGGTGTTTTACGGTAGAGAGCACTTACTATACTTATCACAGCAATGAGCCACCCTACATTAGAGGATGTGTGGTTGTTTGCCATCCTGCTGTTAGCTTGTTGTTATAGTTCTGAACGACTCATTAAAGGAAGTAAAACACCATGATTGAGTCATTATTACTTCACATATACATTTCACTGTAATATCGAGTTGCTGGTAATTGAAAAAGTAGCTTGAAATATTTTTAGAGCTCACTATTTGCTTCCAGTTCACTGTTAGCATTGTTAGCTCAATGTTAGCCTCTAGCAAAAATATACCGTGACTTCATAGGGGTACAAGAAATAACTTCTGGGTCACTCCTGTTTTCTGACTTTGGTGCTTTTGCCTGCCAGTGTCAAATTACAAATGATGGCACTGCAGCTCAAGGCAGACATTGCAACCTCACAAACTCACTGATTGTAAACAGTAACTATGGTTTTCATTCTAAGTGTCTTTAGAACAGGATGAAAACCATGACTGGCTATGGGGTAAGACAGGTTTACGCAGCACCGGGATGGATGTGAATGAGATGAACCAGTTTTTTGCCAGATTTGATGTGCGTGATTTTACACATGAACACAACAAACTTAAATCGGCACTTGCCTCTGATTAGGTTGAGAATGCATGCCCAGAGATTAGCTTTAGGGTGGGAGACGTCCAGCAGCAGTTTAGTCAGCTAAAGCCTAACAAGGCAGCAGGCCTTGATGGTGTCCATCCATGCACCCTTAAAGTTTGTGCAGAGCAGCTTGCAGCTGTCTTTGACCACATTTTCATGTTGCCCTTGTCTGCTGCTAAAATACCTGTAATGTGGAAAACTTCTTGTCTTGTGCCTATCCCTAAGAAAACAGGCGTCAGCTGTTCGTTTTCAAATCTTAGGCCTATTGCGTTGCCATCACACATAATGAAATGTTTTGAGAGAGTCGTCCTTAAATGCCTAAGAGAACAGGTTGTTTCCTTCCAAGACCCCCTTCAGTGTGCATATAGGAAGGGTGTGAGTGTGGATGATGCCCTTCTGTATCTGCTGGACATTATTTATAAACACTTTGAAAAAGCCAGCAGTTCAGTGCGACTTATGTTCTTTGATTAATACCATTCAGCCCCGTATTTTAGGAAAGAAGTTATTGGGTTTTAAGCTGCACAATTCCACCACTGCCTGGATTTTAAGCTATCTCTTAAACAGGCCTCGGTTTGGGAGGGTTGGGGGTAAGTGCTCGGACTTGATTTTTTCAAACTCTGGTGCACCACAGGGGACAGTTTTATCTCCTTTTTTATTTACACTGTATACAGCTGGCTATAGGCACAGTTTACCATCTTGTCACTTACAGAAGTTCTCCGATGACACTGCCCTACTGGGCCTGATCTCTCGGGGTGAGGACCTGGCTTACAGGGAGGAAGTTAACTCCTTTGTTGGATGGTGTGATGCTAATTTTCTACAACTCAGTGTTGGCAAAACACAAGAGCTAGTTATTGATCTAAGAAAGGAAAAACCAAACATTTTCTCCAGTAGTCATCAAGGGTCAACCTGTTGAAACTGTGGAGACATATAAATATCTAGGGGTGTGCCTCGACGATAAGTTAAACTGGAAAAGGAACTGTGATGCTGTTGTTAAAAAGGCCCAGTCCAGATTGTATTTTCTTAGGAAGCTAAGATCCCTTGATATAAGTAGGAGGCTCTTGAATGTGCTTTATCAGGGGATTATGGCCAGTGTGTTGTTTTATCCTGTGTTGTGTTGGGGCAGGAGCCTCACTGCTGAGGACAAAAACAGGATCAACAAAATGATCAAGAAATCTGGCTCAGTGGTTGGGCAAGGCTCGGACTCATTTGACATGATCATCGACAAAAGGATGAAGAGTAAACTTAAGACAGTTATGTCTCTGGAGGATCACCCCCTTCACCAGATTTTTAAGGATCTCAGGAGCTCTTTTGGTGGGCGAATGTCAATGCCCGTTGTTCCACTAAACGTTTTAGGAACTCTTTTATTCCTAATCCACTGTGTTTTTACAAAGAGCATTTTGTATATTTGTATATTTGATATTTCTATCATGGCTGTGGCTTATAGCAGTGTCCAGTGAATGTTTTGTTGTGTGTGTGTGTGTGTGTGTGTGTGTGTGTGTGTGTGTGTGTGTGTGTGTGTGTGTGTGTGTGTGTGTGTGTGTGTGTGTGTGTGTGTGTGTGTGTGTGTGTGTGTGTGTGTGTGTGTGTGTGTGTGTGCGTGCGTGCGTGCATGTTGTTGTTTTTTACTTGTCCAAGGCAATTCAATTTCCCCCTTGGGGATTAATAAAGACAACCTTGACCCTTGACCTTTATTTATTAATTTAGCACATTCATTGAGCAGTTACATTTGTTGTATTCTTTCAAATTTCACAACATTACAACAATGCTCAAATGGAGTAGGCTGAAGCAAAGAAGCTTATGTGCACCTACCCCACATTACAATATTATATTATTTATATAGGAGTTTCAGCATTCACATAGGCGATTGCTCTTCTCCTTTTGTCCCGCTCCCCTGGGGAGTTCCCCAGGGCTCTATTCTAGGTCCGCTCCACTTCTCTATATATATTCTTCCACTGGGAAACATCATTGCTAAACATGGCCGATATTATCACATATACGCTGATGACAGTCAAATTTATATGGCTTTAAATCAATCAAGTTCTATAACTCAGCTCTCGGAATGTCTCTCAGAAATTAAAACCTGGCTAGCTTCCAATTTCCTGAAGTTCAATGACAATAAGACCGAGGCCATTATTTTCAAACCAAAACAGAATCTGCATACTTCTGCTGCCTTTGATCTCTCCCCCCTAAACCTTAATTCATGTGGGACCAGCCTTGGGGTTAAACTGGATGTTGACTTGTCAATGAGTGCACATGTTAATGCCACTGTTCGATCCTGCTTCTTCCAGCTTGCCCGACTAAAGCCCATTCTTAAGAGGCCACACTTAGAATCAGTTATTCATACATTTATCACTTCCAGACTCAACTTTTCCAACTCAGTTCTAATTGGTGTAAATGAATCTGTCCTGAATCGTCTGCAGAAAGTCCAGAATGCTGCAGCCAGATTTCTTTCCAATGCAAATAAACGCTGTCACATCACTCCCATTCTGGATGATCTGCGCTGGATTCCTGTGCAATTTCGAATTCAACACAAAGTTCTAACTTTTACCTACAAAGCCCTGAATGGTCTAGCCCCCTTATACCTGTCAGAGCTGCTCACCCCCTACACCCTTCTATCAGTGCAAGAGCAGTTGATCTATTTTGTCTAAATCTATATTGCCTATTATTGAGTAAGTTGTATTTTTCAATGAAACCGTTCATGCATTCCACATACAGTTTTTTCAAAATCTTTGATAACCAAGGAAGTATAGAGATCGGCCGATAGTTAGTGATCAGATGTTTTTCTCCACTTTTATAGATTGGAGTGACTTTTGCCGTTTTCGTCAGTTTGGGAAACTCTCCGCTTATAAAAGATAAATTGCAGATATGGGTTAAAGGTGTTGCCATATTAAGTATTACCTGTTTTATTATAGTCATGTCAAGATCATCGCAATCAGTAGACTTTTTATTTTTACAATTATTAACTATTTTGATGATTTAATTTTCATTTGTTGGTGATAGAAATAAAGAGTGTGCATTATTATATGTATTCGTACTGTCAACGTCACTATTTGATTTTGATATTTTGGAGGAAAGTTTTGGTCCGATGTTGACAAAATAGTCATGAAAGGTAATGACAATAGTGTTAACTTGTGTTGTTTTTTCACTGTCAATTATATAGTCTTGGAAAACAGCGCTGTTAAAATCCTTATTAATGGCTTGATTTATCACAGTCTATTGTCCATTCATATTAGTTTTATTTCTTTCAATCAAATTTCTGTAATGATTTTTTTACATTGTTTTATTATATTTATTAATTTAGTTTTATGTTTTTTATATTTGGTTTCTGATTCAAATGTTCTCTTCATCATATGTTTTTTATACAAGGTATTTTCTTTTTGCATGCTTTCAATAACCCTTTTGTCATCCGTGGACTAATTCTTTTTATATGAGTATATGTACAGGTTTTAGCTGGACAATGTTTGTCATATAGTTCTTTAAATATGTCAACAAAGTTTTTATACGTTTCATTTACATTATTTTCTCTAAGAACATTATTCCAGTCTTGTTCCGAAAGGCTTTTGTTAAGAGCACTTATTGAAAGTTCAGATCTCAGTCTGATTTTTTTTCTCACAGTATCGCTTCTATTTTCTGTTTGTGCTGTATTCTAGAGATATAAAAATTGG